GCATGAAACCACAGCTAGTACCGAGCCCTGTACATACCATGTTTTCATATATAAATGTATATATATCTCCATGGTAGAGTTTAATTTGTAAATCAGGTACAGTAAGATTAACAATAGCTAAGAATAAAAATACAATAACAATGTAATAAAAGTTAACCTAAATGTGGTCCCTCAAGATACCTTGTACTCACCTTTGTGATGATGTGAGACGATAAAATCCCTTATGTGATGAAGTGAGGTAAATGATATAAGCCTTGTGATGTAGCATTAGGCTACTATAGACCTGATACTTCATCAGAAGGGGATCATCTGCTTCTGGACCGCAGCTGACAGCAGGTAACTGAAACCATGGAAAGCAAAGCCAAGGATAAGGGAGCCTACTGTAATATTAGCCACGGAGGGGTCTAAAGTGGTTGGAAATTACTTTTTCTAGCTAAATTTACTTTTCATTTTGCTTCATTTCCTGTCTTAGTATGATAATCTTTTTATATAAAATTATACTGTTTGTATCTTCATAATTTTAATTTATTCACGTGTGGACTGTAGTTTTAAAATTAGTGATACCTGATGTTACTTCTAATAACAATTTCCTTACACATATAAAGGCAACATTAAAACTAAACTGAAAACATCTCACATAGTAGATATCCAGCAAGCATTTAAATTAATATTGAATGAATAAATCTGATTTATTTTTAACATGGCAGTTTTAAAATGTAAGTCAGAACTTTTAGAATTCTGTTATCAACAATCTTAGAATTTTAGAACTTTGGTGCATTCAGTGTTTACTTTTAGTAGTCAATATTTTTATATTTAATTTTTCATGGTTGAAAAGATGAAAGTTCTCATAAAAATCGTAAAATGGATGTTTTAGATTAATTCTTTTTTAGACTGTGCTTTTGGTTCTGTTACTTGCACCCACAGAAAATAATATAAGCATCTCTAAAGAAATAACTTAGAATTAGTATTTATTCAGGAGTTCATACAAGAATTAGGAATAATGTGGAAGATCCGGTAATAGAAATTAGGAATGAAAATGCTCATTACGTTAACTTGATTCTAGATACGCACATCTGGTTATTTTCTATGATTTTGTCCTTATTTTTAAGATCTCAGACAAAGTTCCATCAGTTCATTCTCATTCAGTAATGTGTGTACAGCTATTCATTCATCCAAGTCACTTTGTTCAGAGCCCTTCCCTCTGATACCAGTCTCTTCAGTGTCATCAAGGTGCCATTTCTTTTAGATAACAGTTGAGCATGTAAAAGAAGCTAAAGATTTCCCACTGGTTTAGAAGACCATGAAATGAAGCAGAGCAAAAGGTTATAATGCAGTACAATAAATTCATATTTCTCAATATTATGCTAAAGAAGTGTTTTAAGTAGCTTGGTTATTTTGCTAGAGAAATGACAATGTAAATAGAAGTTTAAACTGTTCCTATCCCAGAGAAGTTAAGTGTGGTCCTACTCAGATATTTAAAAATTGGCTGTGGTACTTACTACTGGTTAGATGTATGACCTTAAGTAAGTTCCAGTCTCTCTCCAATCCTCAGTTTAAAATTATAAGTGAGAGATTAAATTTGGCTCTGTCCTGCCCCATATTTTTAAAATCCTAAAGCAAAATCATCCTCCAATATAACCATTTTGCATATAACTCTTTTTTTTTAAATAGATACAAACTATTTTTTTATTTTTTATTTATTTATGATAGTCACAGAGAGAGAGAGAGAGGCAGAGACACAGGCAGAGGGAGAAGCAAGCTCCATGCACCGGGAGCCCGATGTGGGATTCGATCCCGGGTCTCCAGGATCGTGCCCTGGGCCAAAGGCAGGCGCCAAACCGCTGCACCACCCAGGGATCCCTCATATAACTCTTTATATTGACATACTATAAAGGCAAAGGAAAAAAGTTAAATCTTATAGATTTATGTGGAAACTTGAATATTAACTTAGAATTTTGCAAGTTATATGTTTAACTTTGCCATTATAGAAAAAAATTGTTAGATTTGTTTCTCCTACCCTTTGTCAAACCGACATCTTGACTATATGAGACAGTTAAAAAAAGAAAGAAAAACAATCCCCACTGGAACTTAGAGAAGGAGAGACACTTGCTGTACTTTAAGTGAAAAATAATAGAATTTTAAAATTTTATCAGATAAAGCATTTAACTGAATTAATGGGACATTAACTGAGGATTCAACTTGAGGAATTCCAATTTCCTTAAAGGAAATTTCACTTTATTTCAAGCTGAACAATATTACATTGTATTCATGATTTGACCAAAGATGTACATTGTAAAGGATTCGCATTATGAAACTTTCAGTTATAATCTGTTGATTGTAAGCAAGTCCATGTACTTATAGATCTCTCCTACTGTCAGAAATTGCATCAGAAGGGATTGGATTAAAAAAAAGAAGAAGAAGAAGGGATTGGATTATCAAGTATGGCCACTGGTTTTGATCATGGTTATGTTATATTCATGTAGTACAGTAGGACAGTTCTACTCATGTACATCTATTCTTGAATAGTGTAAAAATCTGAGTTGGTTATAATTTGAGGCCTCAAACCTGTGAGTGAGAGTAAATATAATTTTAAGTCACTAAAAAATAGTTATTAAAATGGAACTTTAAAATTTTTTAGAAGTTGGGAGTCCCCAGCTCGTTCAGTCAGTACACATTATGCAGATCTTGTTCTTGGAGTCATGAGTTCAAACCCCACATGTAGCATAGAGTTTACTTTAAAATGTTTTGATTTTTCAAGTGATTCTTAAGGGCCTATTCTATGGCCAGTACTTTGCCGCAGTCCAAAAAAAGATGGTCATTGTCAGCAAAGAACTTTGAGCCTAGATGGAAATATGTACTAACATACGAGAAACAACTAGAAAATAGTGGAGTGTAAATTCTGTCGTGCAGAGTTGAAGTTCAGTAGAAGCTCACAGAAAATGTGGACTTAAGCCATCCGAAAAGACTTCTTAGGTGGGAGATGAGCTGGGCTTAAAGAATAAGTAGAATTAATTCAATGAAATGAAGAAATCAGAGACTTTCAAGTGCAGGAAATATGACTCAAAGCATCAAGTAGGAAGGAATAAAACACCTACACTAGATTGAAAAGAGAGATTGGTATTGGGGAATAGGTAGGGAAATGAGTGTAACCATGTAGGAGATTGTTTTTAGAAGAAAACGAGTATTGGATTGCCTGCAATCCTTTGAGAGCCAAAAAGGAATGATTTGAAGGGGGAAAAAACCCCACAATTAGAAGGAAATCTAGGATTAAATTAGACAAGTTTGCCCCAAATACTAGGGGGTCTATGGATTTTAACAAATCAAGTGAGAAATTTTGAAAAGGTTTCATAACCAAAGTCCTACCACCAGGGATTTTTTTTTCTCTAGGTAAGATTACCTTACACTACGGTAATAATTGTGATACAATAACCAAATAACTGCTGTTAAGCCAAATCGAAATACTCCTTTTCCAAATGCCTCTCTAATTTACATCTAAACTTTAGCTCAGGTTGCTTACTCTTAGAATACCCTTTCCCTCATCTCACCTGTCAAATATTCTCAGGCTCTATACCCCTTGCATTAAATCTTCCCAGTTCATATTTCCTCCTCAGCCAGAAATGCCATTTCTCTCTTCTGTGCTCATATACCTGACCTGGAACATTTAAGGACAGGGATTATTTTAACTCTGTATTGTATACTCTGCATGCAAACTTAACATAGTGGGTGCTTGGTGAATGGCAGCTGATTGCTGAAAATCAGCAATAATATCTTTATGATAAATTTATTCTGGAAAGGCTAAATGCCCGCTAGATAAATACAGAAATGCCCAGGCTCCTCCTGGCATTTAAGAATTTCTCTACTTTTACTACGTATACAGGGCTCCTTTGATTGTATGCCACCTACTAAGACTCGAGTCTTATTTCTCTTGAAATGCCCTTTTTAAAAAAAGTGTTAAAGCCAAAACCTGTGGGTAGGTTTATCAACAGAAGGCCTGTGAAATTTCAGTATCCCTCTGGAGGGCCATTGGTAATCTAATTGATTATCTAAAGCTTGTCAATGAAGTATAGTTTAACCTATTTTCTGTTGGCCTTTATTTGTGTGTCTCTGAGGAGATGGGAGATAGAATGAAAAGTATATTTATTTTTTTAAAGTATTTATATTTAAAAATGCTTTTCAGGGATCCCTGGGTGGCGCAGCGGTTTGGCGCCTGCCTTTGGCCCAGGGCACGATCCTGGAGACCCGGGATCGAGTCCCACGTCGGGCTACCGGTGCATGGAGCCTGCTTCTCCCTCTGCCTGTCTGCCTCCCTCTCTCTCTCTCTGTGACTATCATAAATAAATAAAAAAATTTAAAAAAATTAAAAAAAAATACTTTTCAAAAAACATCGTCATAATCATAAGGAAAAAAAACGCGTATTGAGCATCTGCTGCAGTTCTTTAAATACTATGCTTCTGAATCCATCTGCTTACTGGTACCACCTTATTCAGTGAAATAGGTTTTCTAATAAATTTTCTTGGGCTATTGTATAAAAGACTATCCACATCACACCAATGAAAGCATTTTTTTAAGCTCTATACCCATCATGGGGCTTGAACTCAGACCCCAAGATCAAGTCTCATGCTCTACTGACTAAGCCAGCCAGGTACACCCCAGAGAGAGCTTTTAGAAACTGAAGACAAAACTGTGGCTCAAATGTGGAGCATTTGTTTTCTGCTAGGACATTTAAGTCATATTTATAATGTGATAAGGATCTATTTTTATGTACCCTTAGAGCTTTTATATAAAATCTTTATGACATTGATGTCTGTTTTTCAAAACCTGTATGTAAATTAGTTTTTGAAAGATCTGTTGTTGCTATTGAGTTTGATTTGGCTTTGAGGTTGGTTTACTGTTACACTTAATATTTAACCAAAAGCCAGAATTACAACCAGCAATTATATGGTTTATATGGCAAAGCAGTTTCGCCTCTATAATGATTTGCTTTATGACCTGTTTTCTAGGCCTGTATTTTGACACCGCCACTGCCTCCCCTCCAAAAGGTGAGAACTGACTATTCCATGTGTACCTAGACCATGTGGAGAAAGGACTGAGACTGGAAGCAGAAAACAGACATTGTATAGAGCAGAGTGCCTGACAACGGCTCACTCTAGTAAAGGGCAGTAATTGCCACATGATATGATCCTCTCGTCACAGAATTGTAAGTAACTTTGGGGAAGCACAGGGGAATTAGACCGTTGTCTCTGCTGACTCAGTAAAAAAAAAAAAAAAAAAAAAGTCTTCATTTTATCATTTGTGGCCTGTATGCTGTAAATTAAGTTGTACTGAACTGAGGCACCTGTTTGGCTCAGTTGGTTAAGCGTCTGCTTTTGGCTCAGGTCTTGATCCCAGGGTCCTGGGATGGAGCTGAGCCATCCTGAGCTGGGAGCCTGCTTCTCCCTCTCCCTCTGCTGTTCCCCCTGCTTGAGCTCTCTCACTCTCAAATCAACAAAATCTTAAAGAAAAAAAAAAAAAAGATGTACTTCAAAAAAAGATGTACTGAACTGTTAAATAGTGGACTTCCCTAGTTTGTGAATAAGTATTTAAGGGGGAAAAAATGCAATATTCCCTGAAAAGTAAACTTGGGACCTCTGTCTTAAGACCTGAGGCAGATGCTTGAGATACATGAATTTGAATAACATATAGATGAATTTGAATAACTGGATTAAAACTAAGTAATTAGGCCTTTGCCTGGAAAACAAATTAGAGAACTTTCGTCTTGATAGAATATGGAATAGAGAGACATTATGGCCTCTTGAAACAAAATAATAGAAATTGACAAAGTAATGGAATTAAATATAGCAATATATACTACATGGAGAAGGATTTTAAGATAGTAACAAAGTAACGAAGAAACTGGGCATGTAACTGTTGTAGTAGATCTAACTAGATGTAACTGTTGTAGCTTGATCTCACAACCCTGAGATCATGACCTAAGCCGAAATCACAAGTCTGATGCTTAACCAACTGAGGACCCCAATCTTTTTCTTTTAAAAAGAAATATGTGATGCACAAATTTATATAAATAAACTGTTTGATGAGGTATGTAATCTCAAACATTTCTAAAAATTAACCCCTTTTTTTTTCCTTAGGCTGTCATATCCTAAGCTTATGCCTATAAGAAAATCCCTACTCTTGTATTAGTTATGAGCATCAATGACTAAATGTGTTATATTCTTGAACCTTACCTTCATATTTATTAATAAAACAAAGATCTTTCCCAGTATTAGATTGAGGGAATGAAACTGAGAACTTAAAGTTCAAATGATTCAGTCAGTTAAAACTTTATAAAATTGACATGGCTTTAATTTCTCAAATGGAAAGGCAGGTAATTGAATTGTGTGAAATGTGCTGGTCTCCAGTTTCAAGAAACAGTACAGCACAAAGACATGGCATTCTGGCTGAAGAGCTATAATAATAAACAGAAATTTGAAAACCAGGAAGACAAGTTTTCCAAATGTGCAGTTGTGGCATTTCAAAGGAGATATAACAAAAAATTCCAGGAGATGGCCAAAAATAGGTTTAGGTAATTGAGATTCCTTACATGAATACTTGGTTTTGATGGAGAAATACAGTTAAGCAAAAATGAAGGTTCTAAGAGGCCTGTGACTTTCTTCTTCTTGCCCTAAATCAGGTTTGCTTCTGAGTAAAAAAGTGTTAGAACAAATCAAACAGGGATTCAGTACATTGTAGCCAGGAGTTTAAAACGTGGCCAAAGGAGGGAAAATTTCAATTGGCAATAATTTTTGTTTTCTAGGAGCTAAACCTTGTGTTGTAGGATTTCTATTTAAAAAGTCAAAGTATCTTCTGTCTATCTAGTTACTACTTGCTATAAAAAACAACCACCTTCATCAGAAAGAAATTGCACATTCTATATTTTGAATTGATTTTTTAATGTACCATTTTAATGATATATAAGGAAATCTAAAATATCAATCTGTGCTTCCAAAATAGCATTTTAAAAAAACTCAGTAATATGCCTTCTGGATATATCAGCATCTTTTAGACCATTTCACCTGAAAACTTGAACCATTTGATTAATCAAGTTCAGTAACCCAGAACTTCAAATAAGGTTATCCAGAACTGGGAACATTTTTTTCTGTATTTCTGTCCTAGTTGCATCCGACTTATATGCCTGGTCTGATGACTTCTATCTTTTTATGACTCCTAAATTATGGAGGTAAGTCAAGATTTAATATCAATTATAGTCATAATAACACTCATTCTGAACTTCTATTCCCTTAACATTAATTACTAAGCATTCTTGTAGCATTGCATTTTTATTGGCATATTATGTACATTCCAATTTTGGCTGGCTGATTTCACTCTGATTAAATGTGTAATTTTGTGTCACTTTCAACTAGTCAGTATTCATATATACATCTATATTTTCATCTCATTTTGTATGCAGTTACCCAAGTAAGCAATTTTTTAAAAAGATTTTATTTATTTATTTGAGACAGAGCACAAGCAGCATTAGGGGCAGAGGAAGAGGGAGAAGTAGACTCCCTGCAGAGCAGGAAGCCCAATGTGAAGCTTGATCCCAAGACCCCAAATCATGACCTGAGTTGAAGGCAGGCTCTTAACCAACTGAGCTACTCAGGCACCCTACCCAAGTAAACTAATAGAAAAATACCATGGGATTTTTTTTCTGTAGTCTTTAGCTTGAATCAGTTCTTTTAGACTCTACATAAAGTATCATCCATCTTTGAATCTACTATAATTCTTGTTTTTTCCAAGTACCTATTCACTGAGACTACAGTGTTCCAGATTTTTCAATTCAGTTTGAGACCATTAGATGTCCAGCACTGTGGGAGAATATAAGGATCAGTAGAAAGCGCAGTCCCAGTCTTCATATTAAAAGAATTCACGGAAGCTCAGACATTACAGCCAGACTTCCCTGGGGTCTCTTACTACAAGGAGAGAAAGATAAACCTCTCCTATTTGGCTTCCAACTTGGGAACCCAAAGAAATTTAGATTCTTACCAGAGTATAAAATAATGGAGAGTATCATGAAACAAAAACAATTGGTTTTGGATGTGTTTTACTCAGCTTATAGAGTAAAAAACCACTTTAAAACAGTGATTTATGGATTTGGAGATGTTGATATGAAATGTGAAGGTGCAGAATGCTGCCTACCTAAAAGCTCTGTATAATTAGACAAGTCTTAGGCACTTTTTAGTTTGGGGAACAAAGTCCTATTTATTTTGCTGTGTGTTATGCTCTTTAATTCTGTGCCATGCTTAATACTCATTCCCCATTCACTATGTAAGGTGTTAACTTTTTATCCATTAAAAGATTTTTGTGGTTGGATCTATCTCTTAGTTTAGGTAATTATTAAGGCATTTTTTAAGCTTAATATTTATGACATAATGAGTTTTTTGGTGAAATTTTTACATTAATTTTCTCCTCTAAAAGGTCTAATAGAAGGCCTAATAATTCTTGAAGTGTAGCTCTGTGGCAAAGCTGGTAATTATGGCTTTTACTAGGTCATTGGTATTCCAGAAATCTAAGTATTTTTAGTAATATATTTTCATGTCAACTCTATTTCTTTAACTTTGAAACACTAAGTTTGATGTCACATTGTTTTCTTCCATGGGTTTTTTGGCTACAAGAAAATATAAAACTTTTCTAATTTTTTTTTTAATTTTCTCATAGTGGCTCTTCTGCATTGCTAAACTTGCTCTAAAGGAGCTCATTTACCCAATACAGAGGAAAAATAACAGTAGGATATGGGAGGTTTAGAGTGCTCTAAGCAAGTCTTTTGTTATCCCAGCAAGGTTTCTAGTGATGTGACCATTTCTATTATTTGTGATAGAGAACCAATACAAAAACTTATAAAGCCAAAGTGAAGTGTGCCAGATGTAAACAGTATAGAAGATAAATTTGAAATAGCTTATGATTCCCTAAACCATATAGTATTTCTCTAGGTGCTTTCCCTTGACCATTTTATGTCATTTCAGGCTCCTTGATTTCAGATATATTTTGAAAGCAGCTCAAATTAATTCCAACTTTACCATAACCTAAGAACTCTTTGTAATTATGACTTGTATATTAAATGCAAGAGTAAATTTCAACCTTAGCTTTCCTTTTTAGAAAATCTTCTTAGGGGGATCCCTGGGTGGCGCAGCGGTTTGGCGCCTGCCTTTGGCCCAGGGCGCGATCCTGGAGACCCGGGATCGAATCCCACATCAGGCTCCCGGTGCATGGAGCCTGCTTCTTCCTCTGCCTATGTCTCTGCCCCCCTCTCTCTCTCTCTGTGACTATCATAAATAAATAAAAATTAAAAAAAAATAAATAAAAATTAAAAAAAAAAAGAAAATCTTCTTAGGGATAACTTCCAGTCACTTATAAGGTAAATTATTGAGGTTTAAGAATTAGCTAAGATATTTAGTGTCTCATCCAAAATGAAGTTGTGAGTGATGGAGAGAAGCTAACCCCACATAAAAGAAGTAGGAGAATAGGGGAGACCCAACTACTGATGGTCCCATTAAGGACTGACAGATCTTAATATGTCATTGTGATGATTTGTATTTGTACACATGAGATAGATTGATAGGTACATGTGATTTGATAGAACAAAATTTTCAGCGTGGTTTGTCCAAGACAAGCTTCTGCCATTATTTTCTTATATTTTAAAATAACACTAAATAACAATGAAATTAATTCAGTTAAGAAGTTAAGAGTTAAGTGGTACCCATATGAAATGTTGGGCCACATGTAGGTGCCAATTAGTAACAAAGTTATTATTCCTCTCACCAAATATTTAGCAGTGGTTTATACATAGTAGTGTTAAAATTGTTGAGTGGATTGAGCTCACATTCAGGTGAAAAAAAATTGTTTTATGATGGCATGTAAGTCTATACAGAGGAAAGGGCTGGTTAATATGCTTGGGAAAGGAGGAAGATAAGGCCTCACTGAGAAGGTACATTTGAAAGTGGGCCACCAGTCTGTCTTTCTCTCCTTCATCATCGTCACCATCACCAAAGTTACTTGGTGCCTACCTTGTGCCAGACAGTGTGTTGGGTATTTTACATTATCTCCTTTTATTTTCATATATCGTATAAGGGAGATATATTATCCTCATTTGATAGATGATGAAGTTGAAGCACAAAGAGCTTAAATGGCATGCCCAAGTCACATAGCTAGTAACTGATTAAGTTGGGATTAGAAATCAAGCAGTCTGATTCCAGAGCCCATTCTTGAGAGTTGTATAAGTGTTCAAGAAAAGAAAGGGAAGGAGGCATTGAAGGTAGAAGGAACATGTGCCAACGCACTAAGTGCACAGTGGTATTCAGAGAGCAGCAAGCCGTTAGCGTGGCATAAGCACTGGTGAAGTATGGTTGCCAGAGATGGCATGCTAGGAAGCACGGACAAGAGTTACACTGAGTACATATTTGACTAACATACATGCCATAAATGTGGAATTTCCAAAAAAGAAAATGGCAATTTCTCTTTACTGTAAAAGAGAACAGGGGACCTCATTTCTTTTTCTGAGATTGCTCCGACAGGGTAGTTTCTGGTTTCAGTGTTTTGTTCATGGTGAGAGCTTCAGGCCTTTTTATCCTTTCAAAGCTATAGCATTCAGTTTTGTCTTCAGAGGATGATGTTCTAGTGCTGACTAGGTGGAAGCCTTCCATTAATAAAGTGTCGATTAGTAAGCCGAGGACGTTAGTTCCGTTGGCCAATTTTCGGTTATCAGGTTTTATAGAAACATACCTAGGACACACAATAGAAGTTTGATTATAAAGCATCCCTTTAATAACTAGCAAAACTAAACACATCAGTTTGACCTACAACTTCAAATAAAGGCGTCATACCATTTTTGTCCAGATTTTTTTTTTTGAGACTTCATTTATAAATCCAAATCAGTAACTTCAGGTACTGAAAATAGAGACCTTCCTGTGATCTCCAAGGTCATTTTAATTCCACATTTAGGAATATACCAACATTGACAAATTTTCATTGCAAAATCATTTTCTGGAGCAAACAATTTGATTAAACAATTAGCTTAATTTTTATATAATGTAACAACTATTTCCAACTTTTGTTTTCAGTTTACTAAACATTGTTTTAATCAATGTAATTAAGTTAATTGATTCAACCATTTTAATGAATATTTTCTACATTTACAGTTTTCCTGCTAGATGTAATTCTACCCATAATTAGCACTGACAGAACAAATTGTTTCTTTTGTGGCATATTTCTATCAAACATGTTTTCAGATACAATTTTGCAAAATAAAAATGTCAAGATTTTATTGTCAGTTTTTACTCAATCAAAATTGTTCCATTGTTAAAGAGTAAAGCTCAGGGTCAAAAGGCCTCTGGAGTAAAAATGACAAAACTTTCTATTTCCTAGGAAATTCTATAGAACCAATACACATAGTTCAAGAAAAATATACCTGAACTTTTCAGATTGGCTGTATCTTGGTTTTAATAGTGTCAACATAGCATGTCCTCTATATATTGCGATAGATATTACCCCTTTACATGCCATCTAGGATATTTTTATGTCTTTGAATCCTCTCAGTTTGTTTATGAGATGTGAAGAAAAGGCTAACTTAAATTACTTCCACGTAGCTACCTAAATTCTCAGTAGTTTCATGTCATAAAAAGAGCCCTTAGGGCTTCCTTAGCCTCTTTTTAATTATGATTAAAATAGTGATTATTGGGGTACCTGAGTGGCTCAGTCGGTTAAGGGTCTGCCTTCCACTCAGGTCATGATCCCAGGGTCCTGGGATCAAGCTCTACATCAGGCTCCCTGCTCAGGGGGGAGCCTGCTTCTCCCTCTCCCTCTGCCTGCCACTCCCCCCTGCTTGTGCGCGCTTGCTCACTCTGTCTCTGTCTCTCTCTCTCAAATAAATAAAATCTTTTAAAAAAAAATCAAAATAAATAGAGTGATTATTGTAGCTTACATTTAGAAATTAATTCTAGGCAAAGAAAATACTATAAGATTTATAAAAGTACATATCAAAAAATGTTTATTATATTTGATATAGCAAATTTTTAACATTAGAAAATCATTCCATCTAGTCCCAATTCCCAGATCTTGTGTGTGTAGCCTAGAAGCATTTGTTAAAGACAAGAAAAGTTATAGCATATCTCACATTAAGATACAAATAATATACAGTAGATGATAAACACTTGCAAGAAATCACTGAGCTACAGTACTTGATTCTCTTTGAGGTCAAATTAAGAAATGAAAGATTTTAAGGCAGAAGAGGATAGAAGAATGAATGCATTGAGAAATAGAAAATCGAAACTTATTTTTTTAAAGATATTATTTATTTATTGAGAGAGAGAGAAAATGATCAGGGGGAGGGGCAGAGGGAGGGAGAAGCAGACTCCCCACTGAGTGGGGAGCCTGATGCCGGGCTTGATCCCAGAACCCTGAGATTATGACCTGAGCCAAAGGCAGACCCTTAACTAACTGAGCTACCCAGGCACCCCTCAAAACTTATTTTAAAAACTTAAAAAGGCAACTACACTTTTCCATTTAATCCAGTTTAATAAGGAAAGTTCCGATAGAATAAAGGCTCTAGAATCCTGTGACCATAACTTGAGCTTGATAATGTGGTATCATATGAATGGCCTTGTGCAAGTTGCAAGCCAAGTATTTCTTATACTGTGAACTTCAGAGATGATAACTGAGCAATCTGCTAGGTTAACAAGATCTCAGAGTGGTGAATCATATTAGTGGAACATACTGAACAGCTGGATGATACACCAGACTCTTAGGGCCAACCAGGCTACTCCTCCACTTCCAGCCTTCAAAAAACATCTGAATGGATGATTCAGAACAGGGAGTGAGCAAGAAATAAAAATGACTACGCAGGCAGTTACGTACCTAAGGTGGGCCTTTCAGGGCCAGAGTTTTCATCCAATCACCCAAAATCCCAATAATGTTCCCTTTCTAAGGTTATCCATCTCTACTCTGAAATTGGCATGATAGAAAAAAAATCATCAACACTTACAGAATGGAAAAGAACTCTAAACTTCCAGCAACTGAAAATAGTACTATTTGGTGATGAAAAAATATAATTAGTAAAACAGCTTCTGGTTTTGGAATTACCTATTTTGGAAGTTTAAATATAATGCCCCTCTCACATTATGATGAAAAAAATTTGTACTATTTCTAAGTGTTACGACACTTAACAACAAAGGGAAAACCAGTTGGCACTGTACATACAAGTATATTCCAACCTTAGTTTTTAGTTTTTAATTTTTGTTTTTCAGCATTCTTTTCAATTATTTTCTCCAAATGCATAGATTTAAGTGTTTAGTATTTCCAGTATCTTTTCATCTTGCGTGTTTCTTCTTAAAATTAATTAGACCATTTTTCCTAGGTTTCTATCTTTAAAAAAAAGGGGGGGGATCATCAAAGATCCTAATCATTAAATCAAATTAAAAAAAAAAACTTGATAGTTTTTCCCTTCTATTCATTAGTGCCCCACCAGTGAAAAGAAAGTTGTATACAGAGATATCTTAAAACACTTCAAGATAAAGATAGGGTCTTAAGTTCCCTTCACAATCAGCCTATTAATTTAAGTCTTCCCAAAGTGACATTTCAACCTTTTGGAGAGGGCAGGAAATTATTAAGTGTAAAAACTGAAGAATTGTCATACTGCCCAGTGTTCTTCAGTTGGTAAGTAGAACAAAGGGATGTGTTGTGGGAGAGGCGAACATTGATCCTTCCCAATGGCGACTGCTGAAGTCAAGAAAATATCCCAAACTATGTCTACCTTTTCTCTCCCCCCCCCCCAAAAAAAAAAAAACATTTTAAATAATACCAGTAAAAAACATATGCAGGCTCCTTTTTTTTCCTCCTGAAAATTAAAGCCAGCTTTAACAGTTAGTAAAATAATGGTGGGACAGCATTAAGACATTTTTAAGGAGAAAAAAAAAGTGTCCCTGACAGCAGAGTGGAAATCAGCCTTAGTGTTCAGCCAAGAACAACAGTGAGAGAAAGTGAATAATTGACTCAGGAGCAACTATCCTTAACATACTGACAGCCTATCCCAATATTTTGAGTTGTCTCAGAGTGCCAAAGATGTAATAGGATACCAAATTTGCTATGGGATATATCTGCCTTAATGGTGTTTAAAAATAAAGTGGGATGGAGGAAAATCAGTAGTCAAATCATAAGGACTAAAAGAACAAATACACACGGAGTGTAAGGAAATCGGGAGAAACTACTGAAACTTTACTACATTGCCAGCCACTAAAAGAATCTCTTGGGGAAAGAAAGGCGGTCTCGGTCCTAAGCCAAATTCACCAGCAATGGAACATTATCTATAAAATTATTTCCTCTCACAACTTGAATGACTATAGTTCCAGTTTTCCCTGGACAGTCTTGGTTTATTCCTATTGTCCCACATAATAACAATACCCTCTTTCACTCTGAAAAGTAGCCCAGTTTGGACAGTAATTATCTGATCATTCTACCCAGCTCTACTTATTACCCCAAAACATTTGAGTAATCTTTTTTTTTTTTTTTTCCCAAGAAAAGTCTCAGCCATGAGAAACTTTCAGTTTGGAGGGGAAACATCAGGAACTGTCATAAGAGGAGAAAGCCTTCCAAGTACAAAATACCTGACTCCAGTTTGGTTATCAGTAGTGTGGTCGGAGCCGCACCGGAAAACCAGGTCATGGTAGGAAGGTCTTTGTGGAGGCAGAGGAAGTAAGGTCATCTGAGGAGGGAAAGAGTTACTACTCCAGGTCAGTGTGGAAGGTTGCTCTACAAACACCGTAATCCTCCCAGTTAGCATCTCAATTGTTTTGCTGCAAGAGCCAAACACCCTGAAGAAAGCTTGAGTGTTTCTGCTTAGGAACTGCACCTCCACAAGAGCAGGTCTTGGCAGTAGCAGGTCTTCTTGGTTTAAGAGGTCGACCAGAGGATCCAGTTCATAGAAAAGAGCTTCTCTCTGAAGCCTCAGATAGTCTGAAAAGTCGGCTGGTAATAAAAGCTGATGAGTTCTCAAAAAATCTAAGATGAAACTAAATAGCACGCCATCTCTGTCCACAAAAATCTGGCCACCAACCATCTTGAACTCTTGGTCTCTGCCCTCCATCATTCGTGTCAACCGAGAAGCAGGAAACTGCTTTATGGTAGAGCACCTTGTTGTGAATATCTTCCCTCCCACATTCAAAGTGACCAGTTCCTGACTACTCATCCTTTTCTTGCTTCAAGCTAGAGGCTGCAAACCATCAGCCACAGACTTGGCAACTTGTAAATCAACCTCCGACCATAAATGTTGCTGGTTACATACAATTAAGAAATGGAGAGGCGGGGAAAATAACAAAAAACAGACCTCTAGATTCCCACGTAACTGCTGTAAAGCAAATAGCGAGCGTATCCATAGCTGTGTTTGCAAATTTGAGTTGCTTGGGAACTTGCAGTATACAAAATGAAAAAGCAACAGATGAGGAACTGGATTGTTTAAGAAAAACTGCCAATATTTCTAAGGAGAGATGTCAAGTAGATCCCTTTCCTGTATTCCATTAAAAAAAAAAAAATTCTCCAAGAAAACCTATTGTATATCTCTATTTTAAAGAAAGAAAAAAAAAAAAAATACTGGGAGGCACCTGGGTGGCTCATTGAGCATCTGCCTTCAGCTCAGGTTGTGATCCCAGGGTCCAGGAGTCGAGCCCCACATCGGGCTCCCCGCAGGGAGCCTGCGTCTCCTTCTGCCTGTGTCTCTGCCTCTATGTCTCTCATGAATAAATAAAATCTTAAAAATATATATATACTGGGAGGGGTCCCTAGATGGCTTAGTTAAGTGTCTGCCTTCAGCTCAGGTCATGATGGGTTGGGGGGCCTTGGATCCAGCCCAGTGTCAGGCCCTGCTTCTCCCTGTCTCTCTGCCCCTCCCCCACTCGTGCGTGAGCTCACATGCACACATGCTCTCTCTCTCTCCCCATCTCCCTCGTGCTCTCAAATAAATTATAATCTTTAGAATAAAAATACTGGGAGCAGAAAAGCACTCCCCTTTCCCCAGACCTCTTATCTACAGTGAGTTATCACAGCAGAGTAAGATTTACAGAGAAACATCGTAATTTATGAACCCCTTAGCAATTTAGTGGCTAAATCATGAATTGTCAATTATGGATGAGGCAGCCATTACCTCAACTAGCAGCTTAATTTGACTTACTCCCGTAGCTGGATTCTTCTGTACTTTAAATTTAGTTGCCGCCTCTCAACCAAATTAAAGGACAGGGTAAAAGACACTCTGGGCTTTCCAAGGAATATCCTGTTTCATGACAAAAATAAGGGACTAGAGAGCATTGTAAGATGAGATCACTTCTTGTTTCACCTGAATTCTAAGCATGATGAGAAAATGAAGTATTTTTAATCTGTGGGAGATAGGGCATCTTTATCTCATGCAAGCAGATAGGACAGCAATAGTGTTTTCTTTTTTCCCCAGTTGTATATATGTATGTGCATCTCTTGCTATCTTTTTAAAGAAGACTTAAATTATAGCTAACACACATTAGTGTTTAGCTGATTGCTTTGTACTTTATAATAGCTGAAAGACTGTTCCATCTATCATCAAATTAATCTTACTCTTTAGAAAGATGTTAAGCAAGTGCATTGGTTTGGTTGTACAGTTGCCATGATACTTTGGAACAACACAACACTTAGCTGCCAGTAAAAAGAAGGCTTTCCCATTTCCTGTTCTTGCCATGTGTGTGACTTTTTTTTTTTTTTTTAACCTGTGCCTTGGCTTGCACAGCTACCTAACACTGCTGTACTGTATCACTGAATTCCTTTGGTGATAAGTTTACAAGACCAAAGGAGAAAAAGGCAAGCTGAAATCTCCACCCTCCTAAAAATGCTGGAAAATGCTTTTTGTTCACCTGAGATTTACATTTCAGCAAAAAAAGTAAAATTTAGAAATCCAAATCTAGAAAAATTTGGAAGTCCAATCCACCCATATTTCTTTACTTTTTTTTTTAAAAGAATGTTCAGTCTCAAAAAAAGCTGCTTTACAAGAGTCATCTTTATTACATGCTTAAATGAACAATCACGGTTACACTTCCTCATTAATACACTATCAGATCGTGTGTTCTTTCGCCTCCTCTTTCCACAGCGTAAACACAACCAACATTGGGGGTAGGAGGTGTATTTCAAAAGCACTCTTTAAAAAGGAAGGAGGGTTCAGGACTGTACTATTAAATTCACATTTACCTTTATGCTACCTGATTTGAACACCACGAACAGGACATTACTTTTGAAAGGCATACTTTTGCAGGAAAATATCTGACTGAAATCTTGACCAAATCTGAACTACCACTCGGCTCGTCAACAAATTTCTAACAAAAGACAGAGAACTATATGCTTGCAACAGGTTTTTATAATAGTTTATATTTGCACACAAAGTCTGCCACATTGTTCAGCACCACCAACATAAAATTCTTAAATTTTTCACTGAAAATGAAAAACCCATCCATCACCTGTTCCCAATAAAACATTGATTGTTCTACAAAATCAGCTGATTTAGTCAGATAGGAACTGAAGTTTGAGAGATGGTCTTTCCAAATTGTGAGTTCATCAAATAAAGATCCTTCTAGAAATATAGTGGGACCAAAGAAAACAAGAAGGCCGAACAGAAGGACCACCACAAACAACTGATAAAAGCTCCAGGGAATCTTGCTAATGAATGTGCCAGTGTCTTGAGGCAAGGAAAGTTTATCCACATCTACTAGTTTTATGTCTTCCCACTGACTGGTATCAAAGTTCTTCATTAAAGGACTGGTGGGCAAGTTAGAGGGAGGTAAAGGAGTCTCCTTGATTACTTTTATTTTCTCCCTGAACTCCTGCATCTGTTGCAGAAATATGATGGGTTCTGACACGTCTTTGAAAGCCTCAGCAATGTTAAAGGCCATTCGTTGTTCCTGCAAGATAGTGTTGAGTTTGTTGATCTCTGGGTCATAGGCTTGCATAACTGCAAGTTTCATGGTCTCAAAGTCAGACAGGATTTCATTCTTCTTTTGATCTAATGTGTGTTGTAACTTCTCAAAAAACTCCTTCACCTTATCTGAATCTCTAGTCAGTAACTGTAGAGATTTCCTTTTGCTAGTTTCCAAGGTATCCAAGCGAGAAAGAGCATCTCCCCGACGCCAGGTCTCAAAGCTCTGGAAGAGCGACTCAAAGGCATCTCTTTCCTGAGCATAGGCATCTTCAATAGAACAGAAGACGTGCTTGGTGTGGTCACCACGAGTAGCACAGATCCCACAAATGAGCTGCATATCAGTCAAGCAGAAAATGTTGAGAGGCTGCCCTAAGTGTCCTTTGCACACTGGCATTTTGGGAGAGATCTTGATTTTGTTATACTTTTCCACAATACCCTTCAGGGAGTAATTGACCTGCAGGCTATTAACTCCAGTAGCTGACGTTTCCTTACGGCATGTAGGGCACTTGAATGGAGAGGCTCTCCACAGGGAATTCCGTACAGTTCCCTCTAAGATACCTTCTAAGCATTTTTTGCAAAAGTTGTGTGAGCAAGGCAAAACTCGAGGATCATCAAACAGACTGCAACAAATTGGGCACGTGAGATCTTCTTCAAGCAGCTCCATCACATCCTACCATAGAGAAAGAAACATTTTTACTCCAGTAATAATCAGAAGAAACTCTCTTCACGGGCATTAAAAACGATCTCTCGCTGAAATAACCAGGCAAACAAAGGAAATGAGTGAGAAATTTGGGAAGGGAATGCACACCAAAGCAGATTTAATCTGCTAGGACTAGAACACACTCCTTATTAGCAGGACTCCCTGTACACAAGGGCTTTGTGTGGGCTTTCCAACAACAGTCTTTGGCTGAGATAGGGTTAGGTCTAGGACAACTGCAAGTTGAGCCAGCAGGACCCAACTTGATTGTTTTAAAACAGAAAGCTGACTACTAGCTGTCAGAAACAAAGCTACTCAGTGTCTGAATAGAATGAGCTCTTTAGTCTGGGCCCACAATTAGAAAATGGTATGCTATTTAAAAGAAAGAAGCACAGAAATATAAATTCAAGCATGCATCTTGTTCAGGCTCTTATTAAAAATTGGCAAATTTTTCTATTTCAAACGCAAGATTACAATTATTAAAATCATAAGTAAAAACATGAGAGTTGCAATTCATTCTTTAGAGAATTAAATGAGTAGTTGTTGTTTTAACCACCAGGACTGTCTAGAGCATCAATTCTCAAAATGGGCAGAAATCTGGTGTTTCTAAGGCTCTTTCAAGTCATTCTTGAAGGTCAATACTTTTTTTCACAGTAATACTGAGATGATACTTGCTTTTGGCACGTTGACAATAGTGCTGTAAAAGCAATGGTAAGTAGACACTGCTGGAGCCTCAGCAGGAATCCAGCAAGGCAAAGGGTAGCCCCAAACTGTACCACGAGTTACTGTACTCCTCATTACTATACACCCACAGCACGAGTGAGGGGTGGTAGCCAGTTTCATTTAAGAATGTTGTTTATGAAGCAGCAATAAGTATTTATTTATCTTATTAAATCTTGATTCTTGTGTACATGCCTTTTTAATACTTTGAATGACAAAATAGGAAGTAAACAAAGCATTACTGTTGCATCCAACAGATACCGTCTGGAGAAAAAGCAATTACATGACTGAGTCACAGTCTCAACCAGCTGCTTTTTTCCTTGTGGAACACAATTTTTACAGAATGAATGACAAACTGGCTATTTAGACTTAGGTAAAGCAGGCATCTTCTCAAAAATAAAATAAGCCCTTCACTTCAGGGAAACAAATGATATTTCTTACCAATGATAAAAGTTAAGTTTTTGAGTAAAACTTAGAATTCTGACAAAAATTTTTGTCACTTAAGAGCTTGATAGCTTCTCATTAAAGATTTTTTTAAAAATTATTTTTATTGGAGTTCAATTTGCCAACATATTCATTAAAGATTTTCTAATGAAATACATGGTAATTTTAAAGAATGTGGGCTTTTAATTTTTTTAGGGGGACACTATTGTATAATAAAATATTAATATTTGGGGATCTGCATAACACAATGAACAAATTGGTCCACATCACCAATGCATGTTATAAATCATGCTTGGGTAAAAGATCAAAAGACCAATACATTCAACAGTATGATTCCAAATTTCATATTGCAACTTTTAAGAAACTACCACTTGTTGAGTTTTGGTATAGTATCGAAGATCCACAGTGATCAGAAAAGGCTATTAAAATATTCCTCCCTTTATCAACTATATATCTGCAAGACCAGATATGATCTTCTTTGTATATTTCAACCAAAATAACGTACTGTAACAGGTGTAATGCAGGGACAGATTAAAGACTCCAGTTATAATCTATTAATAGCAGTTCATTAAAGAGAACTATAAATATGTAAAGTAAAGCCACTCTTCTCAAAACTGTTTTGAAAATGTTATTTTTCACAAATTATTTGTGTTAACACATAATGGGTTCATCGTTATTTTAAATATCTGAAAATTTTTGTTTTAATTTCCAATACAATAAACATCTACATACAGTACATATGTAAATAAAAACTCTTCGGATCCTCAGTTTTTACGAGTGTAATATAAAGTCCTGAGACCAAAAAAATTTGAGATTCCTGATCCAAAGAATATCATTTCTCAGTTCAAGTTTATTATTTTAAAATGTACACTTTAAAACCTCCATCCCTAAAGTTTTAAAACCGAATATAGTACTAAATATGTCCTCATTCAGCTTGCTGAGGGACCTATGTATGTCACAGCACCACCAAACTAATAAATAAAACAGAGTCTAATAATCTGTAGACCATCTTATAATCAGAAGTAAATAAATTTTGGCTGTGATTTTAGGAGTCACAATTAGAGCTATAATCTAAAATAGAAATAGTATTTAAAAAGTTAGCTATTTCCAAGGCTAATTAGCTTGTGGTTTTACATTAAGTTATGGGAGATATGTATAATAAATTATACAATTATATGCAGAATTAAAGCAAAGGTTATTTGAAAAGCATTGGGAGGAGGAGAATGGCTATAAAGACTGGAGTTAGTGTACTCCCTGAGAGAAGTTCTGTAGCAGCTGTAAAACGTTCTGACTCTAGAACAGAGAAGGAAAACTTTGATGATCCTCCTACCTGAGTCCTGTTCTACATTTTATCATCTCCACTGCTCCTTGTCCCTCTTTCACCTAAGAATTCTATGCCAAAACTAGATTTTGGAGAAGGCAGTAGAAACAGGAAAGTAATGGGGGTCAGCATTCAATAAGATAATTTATTCATTCTTGCAAGGTTAGTATTTCCAGACATTCTTATCCAAGCATATTAACTAAGAGGAAAAACAAAGAATACCAAGTGGTGGGATGCAGAGGAAAAAAGGCAAAGAGAAACTTTGAGGAACTCTGAGAAAGATACTGTAATAGAGGCCAAAAAGAATTTTAAGGCAATCAAGTGTGATCAAAAGTAAACAAGAAAATGTCATACACAGGAAAATTTAGTGGTAAACAGACATCAAGGCCATAATCACCTTATAGGTCTGAAAATGAATCAGAGGTAAAAACTATTTAAAAGTTTGCATAGGGACACCTGGGTGGCTCAGAGGTTTAGCACCTTCCTTCCACCTAAGGCATGATCCTGGGGTCCCGAGATCGAGTCCCACGTTGGGCTCCCTGCATGGAGCCTGCTTCTCCCTCTGCCTGTGTCTCTGCCTCTCTCTCTCTCTCTCTGTCTTTCTCATGAATAAATAAAATCTTAATTTTTTTTTTTTTTTAATTTGCAGTAAGGGGCACCTGGGTAAGGATCAGTTGGTTGAGGGACCGACTCTAGATTTTAGCTCAGACCATGATCTCAGGGTCGGTCCTGGGATCAAGCCCAGAGCGAGGCTCTCCCCATTCAGTGCGGAATCTGCTCATCTTCCTCTGCCCCACCCCCAGCGTGCACACGCGCACGCTCTCTCTTTCAAATAAATACATCTTTTTAAAAAAATAAAAATGTGCATCAAAATTATGGTGGATCCTGTTCCATTTTGAGTGATGCAGCTTACAAATTTTGGTTTATAATTTAAATATTCTTATTTCCATTCACTTTAAAGGCTAAACATTTTTTTTTCCTCTATGACCAAATTAATGTGACCACTTCCAGAGCCAACTTTTAGAGAAAAATGAGACAACCAAATCCAAGAAACCATAGCAAGTTTGTTGCCTGAAACATTTTAAAGGAAAATACTAATTAATAAGGTTTTTAGTCTCAGTAAGTGAAGAGTATACTTGGTAGTAAAGGAACTTACAGATCCTTAAAGTGTGGCTAACATAAAAATCTGAAGGAGTCAATAAAACATACTCTTGTACAAACTAAAATACAAATCCCCTCTTTTCTACAGCTAATTTTTTTACCAGTATAGAAGAAACTTTATGTGAACAAAATTATTATTGTCCAGTCATAAAATTTCAACTTAAACCTATCAAATTCAATGTACAATAGCAAACACATTTCCAAGGCTGATTTTTCCTTTGAATGTGTTTCTGAATACCAAGAAAGTCTAAATCTTTGAAGGACAAAAATCTGTTTTATGCACCAATTAGAAATTTCCCAAGTTTTATACCAACAAAGTAACAAATATATACCTAATTGTCTACCCCCTCTCATTTTCTACCTCATTTTCCTGCCATGTGTGTTTTTAAATATACTTTTAATCTGTATACAATGAAATTCACTCTTTCTGGTATATAGTTCTGTGAGTTGTGACAAATGCAGTTATATAACACCACCACAGATTTATTTTTAGGCAAATATTCATGATATCTGCACTCAGGGTAGACTGTGAAAACTGTTTTATCAATCCTACCTTGAGTGGGTATATAGCAGTAAGTGTCTACAAATGAAAACTGAAACATGATAACCAGAAATACTAAAAATGGAAAAGTCAATACTTAGAAAGTGTCATAAAATAGAAGCAAAACCTAACATCTGTGTATTAGACTTCTCTCTCCTACAAGTCCCTTATTTTTAAGTGATCAACTCACAGTAATTATAATACAAAAGGTGCTCATTTATACACTCTTAAACATTAATCTTAATAAACTATTCAAAGAAACTTTCCTATTAAGCCTTTGAATTTAATTGATAGGAACATGAAGTTGTTCAAGATATTACCCATGATTTCCTTCCAAATCCCATTAGAGAACAAAAAGAGAAGTTAATACTACTTTGTATTTTAGAGACTTAAATTTCCATCCTGCTTTGAGGCATCTTTGGCTTCAAGAATTGCAAAGTAGATACTTAATAAGAAACTACATTGCAAATACTGACACACACCTCACAGACAAAACTAAATTATGCAAACCTATACTAAACTGGGAGCCAACAGTCTTTCCTGAAACAGTGCTTAGAATAAAAGGGATCACTTTTTAAAATCACTTCCTCTCAGCATATTAATCTTATTTTCAAGTAGTATACTGTATTCTGCTAGGATGAGACCCACCTGTAATGCTTTCTTGAAACCTAGGGGGTAGGGACAGCCTGGGTGGCTCAGCAGTTTAGCGCTGCCTTCAGCCCAGGGCCTGATCCTGGACCCGGGATCGAGTCCCACGTCAGGCTCCCTGCATGGAGCCTGCTTCTC